TCCCTCTGGAAATGGAGTTGAAGGCAACATAAACTCAGAACAGTTTAAAAACCTATCAGTAAAACTTCAAGCCATATAGATGCCAGAATGGAAACTGCGGGTAACAGAAGTGAGTAAATAAAATGCAGTGAAAGAAGGAATAGGTCAAAATATGAAGGGAAAACAAAATAAACTTTTGATGATGGGGCTCCTGGGTGGCTCAGTCGTTAAGCGTCTGCCTTCGGCTCAGGTCATGATCCCGGGGTCCTGGGATCGAGCCCCGCATCGGGCTCCCTGCTCGGCAGGAAGCCTGCTTCTCCCTCTCCCACTCCCCCTGCTGTGTTCCCTCTCTCTCTGTGTCTCTCTCTGTCTAATAAATAAATAAAATCTTAAAAAAAAAAAAAAACTTTCGATGGGATTTAAAAAATTTTAGGGGCGCCTGGGTGGCTCAGTCAGTTAGGAAGCTGGCTCTAATGATTCTGGCTGAGGTCACGATCTCAGAGTCCTGGCTGAGGGTCTATGTCAGGCTCTGCGCTCAGCAGGGAGTCTGCTTGAGGATTCTCCCTCTCCTTCTCCCCCTGCCCCTCCCCCACTCTCTCTCAAATAAATAAATAAAACTAAAAATAAGATAAAAAATGAAAAAATTAGTATTCTGCAGCACTATGTGTGTTATTTTTTTGTATTTTTAAATGATATTCCATTAATACTTTTCTTCTTTGAAATGTCACTTTACATCTTATTTTACATGATAACTAACCCAAAAATTTGAGACTTTTTCATGTTCCATGAAGAGTACTTTAGAGTCTGCTTTACCGCTCATGTCCTGAATTAGAAGTTGCAAAGGACATAATAAGGTACAGTCACTGTGGAGATACAGTCCCTGTTAAACTACTCTAACAGTCACATACTGTAAAATGTATGGTTCTAATGTTTATTTTGGTCTACTACATTTATGTTCTATGGAAGTTCAGTCATGCAAAGATTTAAAAGAATACTCTGTCCAAGGCACTGGTGTGCTATAAATATATACAAAGCTGGGCAAGGTAGTCTAGCTGAATAGGTAGGGGGAAAAGAAAATGTGTTTGGCAAACTTGTTTCAATCTCTTCTACCAGAGTTAACAAAAGATGTTGGGAAATTTCAGGCAATGAAGGTAGAATGAAAACATGTGGTCTGTTTGTAACAGTTAGGTAGACGAGAAATAATTGGATCAATTCTTGCTAAAACCACCAAGAAAGCTGAAGCATTAGTAAAGAAAATTCACCTAAATTTCTTTAAACTTAATAATTATTTAGAGAAGTCTGTACTTTGTAATGTCATGTTTTATACATTGTAATGATTTTTTGGTACATAAAATAAAAATATTCTATCATTAAGATAATAGGAAGTTATATATTTATGTTCTCAGGAGTGGCTAGGGATACCTGGCAATTTAGTAATAGTTTTAAAAATTAATTTTTTATTATGGAAGTATAATTGACATATAATGTTATTTTAGTTTCAGGTGTACAACAGTGATGTGACAATTCCATATGTTACTCAGTGCACACCATGGTAGGTAGAGTCACCATACAACATTATAGTAATACTTGTTTGATTGATCACTTTTGCAACCAATTTTTTAAGTCAGGATTGGTGGAATAAAACTAAAGCCCACAGCCTTGTTGGCAAAAGGCTACAGTAGATGTTTACAGTGAATTTTATAAATGTAGCGCTCTTTCCTGTTTTTCAAAATGTAGTTATTACATTTTAGCCTCACTTCTGCCTCTCTTGGCCATTAAATGGTAAGTTTCCTAAACATATCCACAGGTTATATCCATCAGTTATATCCTTAGGCCAAACAAATAGAGGTCATCTAACTCACTTTTGGTCCCTTAGGTAATTTACTCAGGTCCCATTATCTGATCTCAAAGTCAAGTTTATGAGAGAAAAACACAAACAATTGTAAATCCCAGCAGTTTGGAGGTGAATTACAAATCTCCCAAGTCAGTACTTCCCTCAAATGTTAAATAATTCACTGTGGCATTATAGATACAAGCCTCCAGCAAAAGTTACACTTGAACAATTAAGGAAGCAAGAACCAAACAAATGACTTCAGGGGTAGAGAAACAAATTAATGATTTCTCATAGTACTGTGCCAAATTACATTTTCACATTAACAAGTGTGTAAAACACCCAAGCATCACCAATGACTTACTAGATTAAGTTTGATTATAGAAAATACGCTGGAACAACACACCAGGATTATTTGCTAAACATAATTATGGATTCTATACACTTGGATATGAAACCCATTTATATTATTTATAAAGTTTTTATATTCATAATGTACCACCTACTCTTTTGTAAAGTTCTTTTACAATTGTTCATGTTACAATAATCATCTGTCAAATGTGTTATATTCCTGTAAAGGATCAGAAGGTGATGCAAATGTTTTTTAGTGGCTAGGTAAGAAATTCAAAACACAAGATCACATCACAGTGCACTGTGCACATACAGGTATCACGACCTGCCTAGTAGAAAGGGGGCACACTTTAAAGTAAAAGCAGGATTTATGGGGCGCCTGGGTGGCTCAGTCGTTAAGCGTCTGCCTTCGGCTCAGGTCATGATCCCAGGGTCCCGGGATCGAGCTCCACATCGGGCTCCCTGCTTGGCAGGAAGCCTGTTTCTCCCTCTCCCACTCCCCCTGCTTGCGTTCCTGCTCTTGCTCTCTCTCTCTCTGTGTCAAATAAATAAATAAAATCTTAAAAAAAAAAGTAAAAGCGGGATTTAAATACCAACTCTATGACTTTCCATCTAGAAGATTTTAGACAATTCTTAATCTCAGTATTATCTTCTTTTTCTGCAAAATAGGGATAACTCATTTATGCAAATATTTATGGAACACCCATGCATCAAATAGTACTTCCCAAGGGTTATTTTTACTTTAGGATGAGAGATAATAAAACATAGCTGGTATTCATTAGAGGTATGTATGGTCACCTAATTGCAAGAGCAGAGGCCTGACCAATCACATAGGGTCAAAGTCGGCAGACTGAAAATCAACAGAGTTCCTAAAGGAAACAAAGATACATGGGATACAAGGTGCTATGGGGTCCGTTTGCTTTCCAGGGATTAACAAGGTTATTGGTATTCATTACAGATCTTTATGTATTTTCTCTAGTTAACGCAACTAAACTCAATCACGGGCTCTCTACAAAACCATAAGGTAAAGTTTTGAGCTCTAATTCAAACAGGTTGGGGGAAGGATGTAGATGTATAAAATTTTAATGGATAGTCTACCCTATGTGAAATAAGTTCCTTGAATCAGACTAGAAAAGCAGAATGGAATCAAGAAAAAAACATATGAAATCTGGAAGGAAAAAAACCGTAGTTGGACCCTCAACTTGTCTCATTTGCTAGCTGTGCCACCTTGAAAAAAACTCAAGATTTTTGAATCTCAGTTTGCTCAAGAGTAAAGTAAGTGTTAACGACAACTCTTAACCTATAACACTTTTGTAAGGATCAAATGAGGTAACTGTAATAAAAGTGATAAGTAACCTACAAAACACTAAACAAATATAAATTATTTCACAGTGAGTAGGGGCTGAAAACGATACCAAGGTTTCCTTTCTGGTGAAGATACTTACATGGATAAATGGTAAAAGGTCTGCAAAATTATCCTGGCTGGAGGAGGGGTCATTTGTAGCCATGACAGTAATAATTTTGCTTGCTTGTAAATGAGGAAGTATCATTAGACTTCATAGCTGGTAAGCAGTAGTCATCTCTAAATATTATATAAGAAAAAATGTATGGATAAGACTAGTAGGAATAAAAAAAACTAAGGTATGGATTGATTTTTAAAGTAAATCCATAAGATACAGTAGCCATAAGTCAAACTTCCTAGAAATGTTTCCTTTTGTGAGGAAAATTTCCTTGTCACCCAGGTTTTTAGAGTGGTTTTAATTTCACATGCCAAAGTCCACCTGCCGAGGCTATATAGAGGCTCTAGAGAGGCTTTTAACACAATGTCCAGCACAATCAATACTAAGTTAAATAAAGTTATTGATACACTATTACTAAAAAATATGCAATGATTTTTTTTTTTTTAAAGACTTTATTTATTTACTTGACAGAGAGAGACACAGAGAGAGAGGGAACACAAGCAGGGAGAGTAGGAGAGGGAGATGCAGGCTTCCTGCAGAGCAGGGAGCCCGATGCGGGGCTCGATCCCAGGACCCTGGGATCATGACCTGAGCCGAAGGCAGACGCTTAACAACTGAGCCACCCAGGTGCCCCCCAAAATATGCAGTGATTTTTTTAAAAAATAAAAAACTGAAAATTTTAAGTTTGTTTTATATGAAGCAAAAATGACTCACACTCACATATTTGTTTTTTAGTCTAAGTGTGTAGGAGAAAAAATTTCTTATTCTAGTAAGTTTAGTAAAAACCTCTTCACCATAAAAATAAGCATAATGAAATGATACAGCACTGAAGTACACTACTTCTCCTAAAATGATAGTTGCAACATTATTTTATAGTTAGGTATCATTCTGAGTAGGTTTAAAAATCATAAATCCCGGACCAAGTCTCTAAAGAGAAATACCATGATGGCGAAGGAGGGGTAGTCATGAATAGAAAATTTTAAATGGCCAGAATAGAAATGAAAGTTTTCAAATGTATAGGGAAATTTACCAGTGATGCATGGAGCTGCTCCGTCTATTAGACTTGTTAAGAACAATAAAAATACATTTAAAAAAGAGGGGGGTGCTTGACTGGCTCAGTAGGAAGAGTGTGTGACTCTTGGTCTTGGGGTCATGAGTTCAAGCCCCACATTGGGTGTAGAGATTGCTAAATAAATAGATAAGTAAACTTAAAAAAACAAAAAAGAACAATAGAAATACATTTTTAACCTTACAAAATATGTTAATCTATCCGTGAATCTGAGAATGACAAAGAACTAAATAGTGATCTCCACTGACCACTGTTCAGTAAAAGGAAACACAATTTAGAAAGCGATATCAAAAGACTAAGTTCTTCTTACCATGAATAGATCCCACCGACCATGTCATAGTTCTGACATGAAGTATTCATGCTGCTGGGCCCAGCTGCTTTAGAAATAAGTAGCACCACCAAGCCCCTCAACTGCAGGTTATGCCAGCTATCATGTACAAGCCCCCTGCCAACAAAGAAAGAAGAGGATTAATATACTCTCACAGAATCAGCCACATCAAGTTACTATTCACCCAGACTTCCAAAATCAGAGAATGGGACTTGGGGAAAGAAACAGAAGTGGGGGAAGAAGGAGCTAACAGGAAAAAGCAATGAGTTCCGGAAACAACTAGAGAAACCCATGGCTGGTTTTAAAAGTGACAGTCTCCAATTGTGAGGCCTAATGATCTGGCTTCCCCCTCTTTCTGGATTTTCCTTGACCCTACACCTCACACTCTCAACCGTTTGCTCAACTCAGTTTTAAATTGCTCTGTGGTAGCTAACAGCAACTGAAATACAAATTGTATTGCTTGGATGAAGTGATATTATTTGGTGAAGATGGTGGTAAGGGAGAGTGGTAAAAAATGATTTCTGCCTTCACAGGTAGAGAAGATGCTCAGAGAATTAAAGGACTTAAAAATTTATCTGATAAGTAAAATGTAAATGTATGCCATCAGCAAGTCTTGCCATTTCCTATTATTTATGGAAAGCATTATCATTCTAGACAACAATATGGCTTTAACTTAGCATGTCATTTTATTTTTGCAACGAGTATTGAATTTTCATAATTTCTACTATAACTAAGGCCAGGAATACATTGGTTTTTTTTCCTCAGAGTATTGCAAATGGTTGTCATATAAGAACTAAATGGCATCATAAGAAAGAAAGAGAGGAAGGATGGACGGACGAGCAAATGAACAAATGAATGAAAGAAAGAAAGGAGGAAAGAAAACTATGGGCAATATAATAAATATTAGAACAATGCTCATGAGCACTAATCAAATAGACATTATGCATACATAAATAACACACAAATATAGTTCTTGAATGTAGTGAAAAAAAGTATTAAAATTGTATTATACTTCATTAAATTATTAAGTCCTCCTTGGTAAATTTTGAACAATGAATTAATTTAAATTAACTAAGTTAACATAGCCAAAATTAATGAGTTAGTTCATTACTTAAGAAAAATCTTTGCCCCTCATCCCTCCAAACAGAAATTTTAAAAAGGGCCCCTTTGTACCCTTACTGGTTTCAAAATAAGACAGATCTTCAGGCTCTCTGCAAAGAAACAGATATAGCTCTTTCTCTAATTATATTTTCCCCTCAATCCAGTAAGTGATCGTCAGCAAGTTTGAGGGGTTAGTAATTTTTAAAAAGAAGTTCTAATTTCCTAGGAAAAAGAAGCTAATTTATAGTAATTAAGTTATATCACAACAGAAACAAACAATCATCAGAAATAGCCAAAGCTTCTCATTGTCATGGAGCTTTCTACTTAAATCCAGTAGACCTGAACGGAAGGAAGGCTGGGAAGCACCCTATTTTATAACAAGTAAATGTAAAGTGGGAGCAGGAGCACTTCCTAAGTTTTCTGTTTTGAATTACAAATTTTAACTTATGCTGCTAGATCCTTATTAATGTATGACCTAAGGTGAATCTTTATTCTTCCCTTTTTAGATAATAATACTAAGGAGAAGGTCTGAATTGGCTCTTAACTTGAGAAAGGGAAAAGAGGAAGGTGAGGCTGTGTGTGTGCGCACGTGTGCTTGTTTTTTGGGGGTTGAGACCAGTTAGGGATGAAGGATATGATGACACAGTAAGAACCCCAAGAGGGCGAGAAACTCGAGAAAAGTCTGACTACATCATGCTGATGAAACAGCTCTGGCAATAGTTTGGACACCTTCCTCAAAGTTCTCAGAGATGGGACCTTTCACAGGAGACACACACAAACTGAGAAGGAGAAGGAGAAGAACAGCAACAAATACTTACATAGTGTTTCATATATGCCAGGAACTGTTCTAAGGATTTACTATGTATTAACTAAATCAATTCACAGCTCTAAGAGGAAGGTACCACAATTACCCTGATTTTGCAGATGAATGAAGAGAATGAGGCACACAGACAGAGAAGTTAAGCAACTTGCTCACAGCTGGTAGACAGTAGAGCCTTGACGAAGCCAAGATTTGAATCCAGGCCAACTGGCTCTAGAATCTATAAACACTCTTATCCATTATGCTATAGTGACTATCCAATCTGCCTCATGTCATGTACAAAACTAGTTGCTAATAAGTCAAATTAGAAGAGTGCAGCTTTAGAAACAGGTTTAAAAGAAATCCTTCTCCCATTCGCTAGCTGTATGACTTGGGAGACTGTTACGTCCGCTATAAAATGAGGTTAACAACGTCTACTTTCCATAGTCATTTTATGAAAGAAGTAACAAGAGTAAAGTATATAACATTGTGGAAGCACGTGGTAGGTGATCACATAATCAGAAAATTACATTCTCTGTCCTTATTACTTTTTTGCCACCTATCTTTTTTCTCAATTCATACTGTTTTCTTTCTTCTAGTCCATTTCTCCTCCTATCTCTCAAAGTCTAGCGCACTCTACCGGCATACATAATCTCCTTTATAAAGGAGATAAATTTCCTTTTCTACCTCCCAAAACAACAAAAGTTGAGGAATTCTTCCCACACACCCCCACCCCCTGCAAACATCATCATACATCACTGAAACACTTGCCACTTTGAGAACACATTCTGAAAAGGTTAGGAAGTGAAACGTAGTGGACTAGCTGACAGAAACCAAGAGAACAGTCAGAAAAGCCCGACTTTTGACAGTGGTTAACAACCCAGAGAAGAGATTAACAGCTTAAGTAAATTAAAAAACTGCTTCCAAACACCACTTCTTCAAATTTATTTCATTAACACGCTTAAAAAAAAAAAAAAAAAAAAAGCAGTACCAAGATAAACTGATAATGTCCACAGCTCAAAAATTAGCTCACAACCAAAAGAGAATAAGAAATTTTGCTTCTGGGGGCGCCTGGGTGGCTCAGTTGGTTAAGCAACTGCCTTCGGCTCAGGTCATGATCCTGGGGTCCCGGGATTGAGTCCCACATCGGGCTCCCTGCTCGGCAGGGAGTCTGCTTCTCCCTCTGACCCTTCTTCCTCTCATGCTCTCTGTCTCTCATTCTCTCTCTCTCAAATAAATAAATAAATAAAATCTTAAAAAAAAAAAAAAGAAATTTTGCTTCTGAGCATAAAAAAGTCCCTAGGACTCTATATTACAGAGACACTATGTTTCATCTAGTCCAGGTTGTACTTTGCCTAAAACAGCATGAGTTCTTCTCAGTGCCTTTCTTCAGGAGGGACACTGGTGAGCCAGAGCATGTCTAGAAGTTGGTGAAATCCTAAACTGTCATGTGCATGCCTGTAGAAAAAGCTCTGGATGCTGGCTTAGAGAATAGTTCAGTTCGTGTTCTCAAATTTATCCAGGAAAAGATGCAGTGAATGCTTACTGCACATTGGGCATGGTGTAAACAACAGTGGATGACATGGTGATGAGCACTGGTGAGCTGTGGTCTCCCTTCTTGTGGATAATACAGTCTGGATTAAAAATCCCAATAAAATGTGGCATGAGCTACTTTAGGGGATGAACAAGGGCTGTGGGAGCACAGAGTAGGGGCCACTAACATAACTGGGGGCAAAGAGGGGTGAAAGAGACCTCCCTGAGACCTTAAGGATGAGGAGGAAGTAGCCAGGGGAGCTAAAGCTGGGAGGGGAAGTAGAGGGAAAAATAAGGTGTTCCAAAGAAGAAACAATATGGGTGAAGGTTTGGAGGAAAGAAAGGAGGGCACAGCTATTTTCAGAACCAACATCGCAGGAGCACAGCGTGTGAGGGGAAGAGTTGGGAGAACGAAAGCTAGAGGAATGCATGAGAGCAGTCTATTCGTCTGAAAGGGCTCCGTCTGGGTAGGAGATAGAATTGCTGCAGAAACTGACACAACTGGATAGAAAATATGAAAAAAGAGCAGGCCAATTTTGACTAACATGAAGAAATTAAAAAACAAAGTAGCCTCTGGTGATGCTGAGTCCCCTGTTAACAGAGATGTTCGGGAAGCTGCACAGCCTCTGACATACACATTAGAGAGAAGCCTGGACTATTTGACATCTGAAGTATTTTTCTTACTCTGTGATTCTTTAGGATCTCACCTCACTTATTTAATTATCTAATGCTCTACAATATGTCTAATAGGTCTAAAAACTGGAAGAATCCTTTATTGTCATCAAAATTATAGTGTCATGAATGAAAGTATTATTAATACCTTGAAATCTTTCTCACTTAAGTTCTACAGAATTGTGTTCCTTTTAGCTCATGTCAACTAAAACTTCTTTTTCACAGGAGACACTTCTGCATTCCTTCATGCAACTAATTCAGACTGAACACCTTCCATAAATTAGGCCCTGTGCCACGCACAGACGCAATGGCGAGCAAAACCAGGCATGGGGCTTGTGGAGCTTGCAGGCTAGTGGAAGAGACTGGAAATAATGAAAGCATCACAGAGAAATGTAAAATCACAATGGCAATAAATGCCACAAAGGAAAAAAGATGGTACTGGGTTTATAATAGGGCAACTGACTGAGCAAGGAAAGTCAGAGGCTTCCTTGAGGAAGTGATGACTGAGATGATACCCAAAGGAAGAAGAGATGTAAAAGGGGATAGTGGGAAGGGAACAGACAAGAGGAGTATATCCACAGCACAGAACCAGGCATATGTAAGGCTGAGAGCTCTGTACGAAGTGAGGCTGGAGACAGAGAGGACTAGACCACAAAGGTCGAACAGGCCATGTGAAGACTTTTGCTCTTTATCCAAAGAGCAATGTGAAGCCACTGCAGTTTTTATTAAGCAGCTGGTGACATAATCAGGTAGTTAAAAAAACCCAAAAAACAAAAAATCCTGTCATCAGTGGAAAAACAACTTGAGTGGAGGGGAAGGAGGAAAACAAAGTGGGTATGAGGAGGAGTGTTAGGAGGCTCTTGCAGTAGTCATGAGATATATGGGGGTAGCTTGGTGCACAAGCTAGAGAGGTACCAAATCTAAAGTAATATTGCAATTCAATTTAAATAGATGGTGGATACTATGTAGTCCTGGAAAATTAGCTAATATGGATATAGCACTAATTTTAAAG